CCTCGCGTCCCAAACATACCTCTTCATTTTTTATTCGTGCTCTCACTCATTCATTTAGCATTTATTGGCTGTCTACTATGTACTAGGCAGTCTGCTAGAGAGTAGAGACACAGTAAAAATAAGAGAAGCCCTTTGTTCTCATGTAGCTCTCAGCCCCTATCTCCCTGTAATCTTTCCAAATCCACACTTTGAAGTCACCTTTGACTCTTCCTTATGCTTTTCATTCTTCCTGCCAATCAAGTAGTTGCAACATTCTACATATGAATTTGAGTGCAGAAATATCTCTCATTTTCATAACTATGTTTTCATACCCACAATCAACACTCTCTCTGGCTTTTTTTCTCTCCTTGGTTTCTTCTTTTGTTTTCTTTTTATGGTTGGGGATTCATTGAGGGTACAAGAAACCAGGTTACATTGATTGCATTTGTTAGGCAAAGTCCCTCTTACAATTGTGTCTTGCCCCCCAAAAGGTGTGTCACTCACCGAGACCCCACCCCCTCCCTCCTTCCCTCTCTCAGCTCTTCCTCCCCCTGCCCCTTGGTTTATTCTATGACAGCTTGTGAAGTGATGCTTCCTCCAACTGCCACAATTCTAATTATCTCATACACAGTATAAAAGATATCATTTGAAAACACTATGGTCAGAGTAGCCTCCTGTTCAAAAGGCAATAGCTTCTCATTGAATACTAAAAGGAACCCCTCCACCTGGCATTTAAAATCTCTTCCAGGGTATTACGTTGAACTAAATAAAAGTTATTTTGTAATTCAAAAAGGGTGAATGTTAGGCTTTTCACATGGTACAACCTAATAGTATTCACATACTTTTCCACCCTCGTGTTCTAAGAATTCTTTCTGCCCTACATTTTAGAATATAAATGAGATCAGTCTATGCTTTCCAAGCATGTCCCCTTCCTTTGATTTCTTTGTTGAAGTTGTTTGCGCTTCCTGGAGCTCATCCATGCTTATCTCCCCCTTGAATACTTCTATTCATCCTGAAGTTCCACCCAGAACACTCATCCTCCGTGAAATATTTCCTGTTGAGTCCCATCTCAGTCATTAGCAATCTTGCCCTGTGATGAAGCACTTTAAATTTTTTTTCATGTCTTTCTTATGATACCTCTGAGCCTTGGTACTATTTCCTTATTTTATTCTGTTACCTCCAACTAAGCTCCCAAAGTATTCTGTTGCATATACTCCTTTTCAAACATAGGACTATAATATGTATAGTTATATATATTATACATTATATTGTGTAATTACTAGTACTTTTAGTGATTTTCTGAGTTTGTTGTCCTTGAGGCTGAATATGGCATTTTCACACTATTATTAACCCTGTTCCCTGCTTATTTATTTTGGCCATTTGAAACTTCTCCTACTATTCAGTTAAACAACCCTTGAAAACATAACATTACTTTTTCTATTTAGTATTTGAATTCTCTGGCTAACTTTCTTATACAGATTATGCAGTTCAAAATATAACATCATTATAATGATGTAGAAGATGCTTTATGAATTCAATTATTTTAAAATTTCCTAATTTATCTCTGATGTTTCAGACATTCATCTTTGAACAGTAAAGTTCTTCAGGTTAAATATATATATATATATATATATATTAAGTATACCAGAGCTTGAATTATAGTTAAGTATTTGAAGACTTACACTGATATCATATATAGATATAAAATCAAGAATCTACAAGTATGTCGTTTCAACCTTAATGCAGTGACATTTGTATCTGTCTAATTAAAACATTAAGACAATAACTATAGGCCAGGCACAGTGGCTCACTCCTGTCATCCTTGCATTCTGTGTGGACCGCTTGAGCTCAGGAGTTCAAGATCAGCCTGAGCAAGAGCGAGACACCATCTCTACTAAAAATAGAAAAACTAGCCAAGTGTGCTGGTACACACTGGTAGTCCCAGCTACTTGGGAGGCTGGGGCAAGAGGATCACTTGAACCCGGGAGTCTGAGGTTGCTGTGAGCTATGACTCCATGGTATTCTAGCTTGGGGCAACAGAGTAAGACTCTGTCTCAAGAAAAAAAAAAAAATAATAACTTTATGTGAAAAAATCTGTTAGGAAACAAGTACAGTATTTAGTGGTTAATATGAATGAATTTGGGAACAGATTTGGGTTGATTGTCCATTTGGAATCTTAATTCATTTTCTTCTGTAATATGGAAACCATGCCTACCACCCAGGATTATAGGAAGAGTAAAATGAGATAAGTTAAAGACTTATTATCTGGCACACAATTAATAACAAAAATCATATTAATATGATACTATAATAAAATCATTTATTGATAAATGACAAATATGAATAGCATTTTCTAAAGTCATTATGATCTTACTAGAACTTTTTTTTACAGATTCTTTAAATATATGGAAAAGATATCTGTCTATTTTTAAATGCTATGTACTGGTAAGTATGACATCATTTCTCGTATTACATTTATAGAGAGAAAGAGAGAAGGGGAACAAAAGGCCTCCTCCCCTTTGATGCAGCAAAATCTTGGCCAAAGACGTGAAGAGCAATAAACAATGTCTAGCCTGGGAGTAGTATTTAGGAAGTGTCCCCGCAAGCCTCAGGCTGCAGTTTGGCATTTTTCCCCAGCTGATGAAAGTGAAAGGGGACATTTCAAAAATTTTTCCATTTTAACCTAAAACTAGAAAAATTCTTCTCCACATAGCCTACATAAATTTCTACACATGGTTCATCTGCTTTTCTACCCACTATTAATTATCTGATTCTTCTTCTTTTTAATTAGAGACATACAATGAATATTTTGGGTAACTAAAAAACAAATTCCCAGATGTCTATTTCCTAGTGTCCAAGCTCATGGAAAGTAAGAACAGAGAAAAGAGAGTAATGGGGGAAATGATGACAGCTTAAACAATGAAAAAAATATTTACTGAACTCCTACTATGGTCCAGGCACTATGCTAGGTCCTAAAGATATGAGTGAAAAAAAATCAGTAAAGGAATTAACTCATGACAATATTGATTAGAAAAAACATGATATAGTTCCCTGATATACTACAGCCCAATGGTCAAATTCTATTCTGATCTGACTACCAAACAGGCTATCTTAACAAACTCCTTTTTATCATACACACTTTAAGAGCACACTCCTAGATGAATTTTCAAGTGGTCTTAGAAAATGTACATGCCAAGAGTATCTTGGTAAAATCATATGTCCCTTCTCCAATATCTATAGAAATCGTAACAGAACTTATTCGTTCCTATTTACAATACACTGGAGAGATTTAATAGCAATTAAATACCAATTTCATCCTCTTCCAATCATACAAATATCCCAAAGCTCAAAATGATGAATGAGTTTTAAGATTAGGAAACAGACTCTCCTGTGATACCTATGGTGTATAGATTTACTTAAATGGAAAAGTACCAAATAGATTTTTTTGTTCCACCAAGCATAAAATGTTTTCACTTACTCTTGACTGAAATCTAAAAAGAGAGAATGGTCTCAAGGGTTTTACAATATCTAGGAGGAACAGTGAGTCCTGTCTGGGGATTTTATGCATGATTCTACTGAGTAATTTCGGAGGAAGAAATGCAATATATAATTTTATATGGCTCTAAGAGTAATATATTAGATTTTGTTCAATATCTTAAATAATGTAATTTCCATTTCTAGAATACACTGATTTATTTTAAAGAATTCATTCCCCTGCTCAAAAATCTTATGTGATGCTCCCTACACTCTGGAAGGCTAAGGACAGTGTCATCGTCCCCTTCCTCTTTCTCCCACAATAACTACCCACAGCAGCAAGACTCTTAAGAAATGCTTGTGGAATGACTAAATTAAGGTTCTCATGATTATACATCGCAGAGGAAATTAACCAAGGACAATGCATTGGTCTTCCTCAACCACTACAAACATCCACACTCACTGGTGTACACTCATATACGTGATATTTCCGGGTCAGTAGTTTAACACTAGCCATTTTTAAAAGTATATTTTAAAAAACCGACTGTACTTATTGGATAAAATATTTGGGGTGATAGTCTTGAAAGAAAATAGTATATGGATTCTGAGGAAAGGTCTTTTTAAAAAAATTTTTTTTATTAAATCATAACCACATAGATCACTGAGGAAAGGTCTAAAAGGAATTATTGATCTTCTTCTGAGCAAGGCAGAAAATGTCTTCCATTTTTTAAAGGCAAATTACATATAAAGGCTTTATTGACAAGGATATATATTAAGGTCAAAGATAATCTTAAAGAATTAAAGAACCAGTAACACCTATAATTATTTTCTTAAATCAATATACATCCTGATGCTGAATGTGAAAATTAATATTTCTCATGGAAGGCATAGGCCCAGGATCAATGGATTCAAGTGCTTTCACGACAAGATGAAGGATTACTTTCTTATGCTATTAATTCCCAAATAAAGCAAATGCAAAACCAGTTACTTTAATAACTGAAAACCTTGGTTTTTGGATATACATTGCTAAAAACTAAAAGATCAATAAAGAAGTTGCGATGGTTTATTTGCAAAACCCAACAATACTGAGTCATTCCTGGGCTTTCGTCTCTAACACTCATTCTACCTGGGAAGGGCAAAGCTTTTCATTTAACCATTTTTAAAAAATCACTTATCAGCAAGATTATTGCAGATAAAATCATTACTCAATGTAGTTCTCTTAAATTTAAACTAATGAATTTTCCATAAGGTGGAGAATTTCTGGCATTTAAAAAATATACAATAATAGATCCTAAAATAAGCCAGACATGTTGAAATTTGCTAATAACCTGCAACATAGGCAAAGGACACAATTCTTTAGACATCTTCTCATCAAAACAGCCTTGAATAAGCTTATTCTCTACATAGGAAATGGTACAAGCTATAAACAACGATCATTGTAAGCTTAGGTATAAAAGACCAACCATAGAAGGATTAACTTAAAGAAAAACAATCCAATTCTTTCCTGAATTTTCCTCATTTAAACATCCAAACAAAACATGTGGTACCTTTTAATTTTCTGAATGAGTAGTTCCCAATCAATGCTCCCTCGGTTAGAGACAACAAGCTGAAGAATCTACCGAAACAAAAGAAAAAAAACATATATCTAGATTTGTTAACTAAATTATCAAAAATTGTAACTTACCGGTAAGCAAATGCATTCTTTACATCCAAATAATCAATCTACGCCTTGAGATCTATAGTACAAAACAACGCAGTACTTGAATTTTTAGCTCAATAAGGAATTTTAAAGCATTTTATTCCAAGATCACATATTTAAAAAAATGGATTAAAAATAAAGCACAATAAAAAATTAAAAACCTGAACCATTACCAGCGCATATGCAGCAATACCACCCAAGTCTAGCCTTTGAGAACTGCTGCAGAGTCCTTCTCTGGGAGCATTATCCCCACAGGCTGGCTCTGTGGCTCTCTAGCTCCAGACAGACGCAGTCTGCAAGCCACCAGCTCGCGTCTGTGTGTGCCGGGGAAAGGGAAGCCGCAAATTAGAAAAAGTCCCCGCAGTGGCGAAAAGGAAAATAAGGCGAGTGGGAGAGGGAGAGAGAGCTCCCTAGCCTCAGAATTTTCGAGAATGATGACAAGCCACTCAGCTCCGCCATCATTCACTGACAATAGGACGCAGCCCTGGCTTACGCGATTTAGTGGTTTGCCATAGGGGCTTCTGGTACCAAATGCCTGACAGGCATTTTAATTGCCTCCATCCAAGTGTGTCCCCAGGAGTCGAGTCTATAAGCCTATGAATGTCATCATCTGGCTTCCTTTGTGTTAGTGCCAGCCACACACACACACACACACACACACACACACGCGCACACACACACAGAGCTTAAGAGAGGGACAGTTTTCAGACATACAGAATTATAAACAAGTTACGCTATGCAAATTGGCCGTGAAAATAACAGTTTGTAGGAATTGTTATTATCTGTGTTAAGGACATCAAAGATTTCTTTGATGTTTTCTTATTGGCAGACAATTACAATATTTTAAAAACTATGGCATACTGTTTATTTATATTGCAAAAGAAATAATTGTGTTCATTGGGGAAACACATTCATTTACGGATATGTTCCTATGGCACATTCGATCCCCTTGGAACTACAATAATTATGCACTTGCTAATGTTTCCTTACAAGGGACAAAAGCACAAAACAAAGAGGATTGGCAAACCAGGTTTGATATGTGATTTCTCTGGGCATCTATTTTATTCCGTTTACATACAAAAGCCAAAGGAGGTGGTGACCAGCTTGAGTCCCGGGACTTTACAGCCCCTGAGGGCCCAGGCAGGCAGAGAATTCAATTTTCAGCATAATCAGTATCCTCTTCATGTTAGCAACTGAAATTAACAATTGAATATTCCTGTTTTACAGTGCCCCTTGAGTAGAGAGGTTAAATGTGGCAAAATTCCCCACCTTTATTTCCCAGAGAAAAGGACAGAAGAAAAGCATCAATAAATAAATCCATTTTTACAGCATTCTGAGCACCCTGCACCAGAGAATGGAGCAAAATGTGATGTGTACCAAAGGGCCAGCTGTGAAGAAGGTTGCTGGGAGGCAGCGTCACCATGGTTACTGGAAACAGAAAGTGAGGAGCAAAAAATAAGATGAAGACAGAGGAGAGGGAAGTAGACTCCAGCAGAGGACGTGGAGAGACAGAATGACATGCGATCTGGTTCAAATCCCCTCCCCCACCTGAAAGAACTGTCTCTATCAGTTTTATGCTGCACTTTGAAGCCATTAACACGAATTTGCATTCTCCTTCAGCCACCTCTCTTTTCCCATTTTTTGACCATTAGCTAATTTTGCTTTCATAAATATTCAAACTGTGTTTCTTTTGTATAAGATTGATCCTGCTACCCCTTGCCTCTGTCTATATCCTGGTTTCAAGGAAACCACTCAGCCTAGTCCACACCCTTTGTTTTGTAGATGAGAGAGCTGAGGTGTGCGGAGTCTGATCAAGGCCACAAAACAGAAGCACTGGCAGGATTTTCTGGCTCAGTTCTCTGCTTTTCTTCTCTTACCAAGTGACTTTGTTTCCCTTCTCTCATTCTGTTTGCAAGCAAAACAGATTCCAAAGTCACCTTTTCTTTGATCTTGAAACCTTTCATTTGTTAAAGCAGTGATCTTCCCCTTTAAAAAGCAATGCAATCATTCTGAGCACTAACTTGGCTTAATGTCTGTGCAGGACCGTTTTTTGAGGTCTGAAGAATCTGGGGGTAATTCTGTCAACCATTTCTCTTTCATTTCTAGTCTGCCAATCAGATAAATCAAGCATGATTGCCCTTTTATGAATCTGTCTTGCTGAGCCTGAACTTCATCATTACATACTAGGCTCTCTAGCACCACTGGCCTCATTCTTTCTCCAAGCATAAAACCGGACAATCAAACTGAGTGGCCTCCCAAGTTTCCTCCTAGGTACAGACAACGTGAACCTTAAGTGGTTACCCCCAAACAGTAAAGCTGAAAATTCAGAGCCCAGGTAAAATTAAAAAATAAAAGTAATAATAATTACAATAATTTATATAAAAACAACCACTGGAGAGCACAACTAGTACTCATTGTAGATTTGTAAAAAATATTTTGACCTTCATGCTTTATTGTTTCTATTTTCTTTCAAAACTGTTCTTTCAAAATTCATTCTTATGACTCATTATTTTTTAGGTTAACTCATCTATAGATAGGGTCATACTGCAGTTTTTGGTGTCTAATATAGAGTTCCTGCCTCCACCACCACCCTATGTCCCCAGCACATCAGCTATAAAATACGTAAATTATATTTTTCTTTTCTTTTTTTTTTTTTGGAGATAGGAGCCTCAAGCTGTCCCCCTGGGTAGAGTGCTGTGGCATCACAGCTCACAGCAACCTCCAACTCCTGGGCTCAAGCAAGTCTCCTGCTTCAGCCTCCCAAGTAGCTGGGACCACAGGCGCCCACCGCAACGCCTGGCTATTTTTTGGTTGCAGCTGTCATTGTTGTTTGGCGGCCCGGAATGGATTCGAACCCACCACCTTGGGTGTACTTGGCTAGCGCCTTGGCCACTTGAGCCACAGGTGCTGAGCTGTAAATTATATTTTTCAAAAAATGTAATTACCATAAGTGATAACTATGAGAGATTTCCGGACTTAGTGAATTCTACAACTGGTTAGGATGTTTTCCCTAAAATGCGTCCCTTTCAATATGATCTCTTTGTTAAATGTCTGCAATTTGGGGCAATAACATGATTTTCCAAAGTGAATGTCTTGTTTTAACATATTGTCATCTGTTCTCTTAAGGGACACACAAAAAAAGTGATGCACAAAGCTGTTATGTCTTGAGACATGAATGATACCCTATCACTACCTCATGTAATGGTCCTGGTCAGTCTAAAAAAAAAAAAAATAGCACAGCTTCCAAGAACATTTAATAATGTTTGGGAAGTAAGTATTAGTGATCCTGGTTCAACAAGTGTGTTTGCATATTCTTTTGTTCTTTTCTTTTTCAGTTTGTTTCTAACATAGAGTCGGCGCTACACAAAAAACATAATTACTGCCGCTCAGTATGTCATATTCTAAGTACGACATGACAGATGAAAGACTTACATGAATGTATTGATTTTTCATTTAAATCTATGAGCCCAAACCACGGTGCCTTCTTTACCCTTCTTCTCTGTGACTGTATTTTAGAACTTAGCTCAGTATTACCATAGTTGGCCATGTATAATGTATACTGTTTAGCCCAAAGTTTTGAGGAAAAAATAAGGATGGGCATTATACATAAGTAGTACGAACTCCATATCTATATAAATGATTTTAATTCTTTTATTTATGCTTCCAGAGTTAAAAGTGTGACTACGGAAAGCAATAATGATATCTATGTGCAAAATATGGTAGCCAGTTTTGTTGAACTTACCATGAGCTTGCAATGAAAGTATTTTTGGCCAACAAAGAGGGACATATTTCTCTTCATATACTTCAGGTAGGAGCTAGTAACCTAGCTGATATTTTTACAAAAATTATAGGAAAATCCCTTGGAAAACGTCAAAAGGGTTTTGCACACACTTCAAGCTTTAAGCTTTGGATTTGAATTAAAAAGTTGAAACAAAAGATTTTTTTTCCCCTGAAATTTTGAGCAAAAACATGGTGCACATTATATACACCAAAATACGGTATGCCTTTCATGAGTTGATTTCCTCAACTGTGATGGCACACAAACAGATACGGTCTTTTAGATGTTTGACAGATTCTAAGAATAACAAAAAGGGGGAAATAGCATTTTCTCCGCAAGGAGTCAAGGAGCTTTAATTAATAAATCAGTAAACAGAAAATAATTTCGTAGTTTCTTCTCTCATGTTGAGGAGACACCTTAACTTCACCCGTCACATCTGCTTTATGGCAGACACTGATCTTTAAGAATATGATTCAACTGTATTCCCAAATGCAGTTACCTCACCCTTGCGGCTTATTTATTTATTTATTCATTTATTTTTGCGATAGAATCATACTCCATTGCCCTGGGTAAAGTGGTGTCATAGCTCACAGCAACCTCAAACTCCTGGCCTCAAGTAATCCTCCTGACTCTCCCCCAAGTACCTGGGAGTATAGGTGCCTTCTACAATGCCAGGCTAATTTTTTTTTTTTTTTCATTTTTAGTGGAGATAGGGTCTCACTCTTACTCAGGGTAGTCTCAAACCCCGGTGCTCATGTGATCTCCCTGCCTTACTCAGAATGCTAGGATTATAGGCATGAGCCCATGCCCAGCCCTCATTCATTTTTAAATTTTTTTCATTATTTTATTTTATTTTTTACGAGCCACAATCTCACTCTGTCATCCAGGCTGGAGTGCACCCCTGAACTGTTATGCTCAAACAATCCCCATACATCAGCCTCCTGAGTAGCTGAGATTACAAATGTGCACCACCATGCCTGGCCAACTTTAGTTTCACTCCCTAAATATATGACTCCGTATATTGGTGTATCACTTTGTAAACTCTCTAAGAATGAACAATGGAAGTGGATCTTCCCTAACCCCATGAAAACTTTACTCATATATCATATTCCCAACCAGGGCTTTCCTGACTACCCTAATGAAAATTATAATCACGCATCGCCCATGGGCCATCATACTCTGCTCCATTTTTCCTTTTTTCTATAGGACTTACCACATCATAAAATTTTCTTTCTTTCTTTCTTTTTTTTGCAGTTTTTGGCCAGGCTGGGTTTGAACCCGCCACCTCCGGTATTTGGGGCCGGCACCCTACTCCTCTGAGCCACAGGCACTGCCCATAAAATTTTCTTTTTTTTATTATGTCTACTATATATTACCTAAATCCCCTGCTGGTTCCACAGGGGCAGTCACCTTTACATGTTTGTGACACTGGAATATCCAAGGCATTTAAAACAGCACCGGGAACATAATGG